CCTCCTCGCACCCCAGGCCAAACTGCACCAACAGCTTATGGCGTGGGGGTTGCCGACGGGTTTGAAATCACTTCCATTGGGGTCGTAAGTGGCCGGCGCTATGTGGGGGCTGTGAGCGGGGCCGCCCCCTTGCCCCGCCCCCGCCCGACCGCACCCTGCTTGGTGACAGCGCGGAAGCTTGTGCCCTGCAGGTCCCTCTGGCTGCTGTGCCGCGCGTCTGCACCACGGCGCCCGAGCTGTTGTTTCTCGTGGTCTATCCAGCGACGACACGATGTCTTCTCTAGGCCAGCCCGCGCAGCTGTCTCCATCCACGACGTCCCCTTTCGACGTAGCTTTACAGTTTACGTAGCTACATAACACTGGTAAAACAGAGGTGCTAATTCGTGCCTTTCCTGGGGCAAACATTCAGCACTTGTTCAGTGCAGCACTTATTTGAGACTCCAAGGTCAGAGGTTCGAATCTCCGTCAAGGTGAACAATTTTTCTCTGCCCACAAAACTTCGAGTGGACTTCAAATCCGTCATTTGGCCAGGTATCCCTCGTGGAGTTTGTACGGCGTCGTGATCACCATCCTGGTCCCCTCTGCGTCCATCGTCCATCCATTTCATGCGTTGCTGCTGTTTATCCCACATTTTTATTTGGACAGTCCCGAAGACTGTCTCTATCGGAAACATTTTCCCCACTCTCTTCCCCTTTACTTTTCTGTATACTTCCGGTCCGCGAGCCCCCCACAGACGCTCTGTAACCCACTTCCGGTGTCTCGCCGCGGCGGCGGGGCGGAGCGTGGAGCATCGTCGTCGTGTTTCGAGGCTCGGCGGCGGCGAGCGCCTCGTCAGCACGGCCGAGCCGCCCCGCCGCGCCGCGCTGCACGATGGGTGGCCTACCCGCCCGGCGACCTCACAGAACGCACAGCCCAGCAACACAATGCGACCAGAGAGTTGTTTGGTCCGAAGCCCTCTCTCTTTCAGTGCGCTGAGGAGGGGAGGAGGATGTTGTTCTGTGCCGGCGAGCGCTCCCCCGCTGAGCCTGAATTGAATCGTCGATAACAAGTTGACTCCCCCCCCCCATACAGTTGGTGGTGCCCCGTGCGCGCTGCCGCCATCCCTCCGGGCTTCTTTCTGCCTCACGACTTGCCCGCCGGCTGCTTCTCCCCTAGGAGGACTTCTCGGGGATCGGTCTTTGAGGGGCGGCCCCCATCCCCCCTAACACCACCACGCACTTCGCTTCCTTTCTTTTCGACCACCTTTTTCTATCCACGCCTCGGCCTCCCTCCTTCAAGCAGCCAAATCCCACCCCCTACGTCTTCGACGCGTCGCGGGTCTACTCGTCAATACAAGAAAAGGAAAAAGAATGTTTTTAGAAAATAATGTTAATATTAATGTTATACTATTT